TGGATAAACCCACTGGAGAGAACAGAGCCCTGGATAAGTAAACCCATTCGCCCCCACCCCTCACCCACCCATGGGGCGCAGTCTTATAGAGGCAGCTGGGTCAACTCAGAGCAGCTCTGCTGGCGGCTTCTGGCTACAAGAAGGCAGCGCTAGAAAGCATAGCCCAGGGGCCCACCCACTTCCTAACATGGGGGTGGTTCCCCAAGACTGAGGCGACTGGGTTGTAAAGGGGACCCCCACCTCCTCAGGGAATATGGGACATTTTCCACAGTTGAGGCAACACTACCCCAAGAGATCCCAGAAGCTCCAGTAGTGCAGGTGAGAAAATAAAAACTTGCATTTTGGCACCACCTACTGGAAAGCAAAAGAAAGACCTCTACTAAGCAACCTGCTGAACAGTGGTATGAAATACTTTTTAATTTATTCATTCATTTTTAAAATACATCTTTATTGATTTCAGAGAGAGGAAAAGAGAGGGGGAGAGAGAGAGAGACACAGAAACATCAATGATGAGAGTGTCATTGATCGGCTGCCTCCTGCATGGCCCCCACTGGGGATCGAGCCCGCAACCCGGGCATGTGCCCTGACCGGGAATTGAACTGTGACCTCCTGGATCCTAGGTCGATGCTCAACCGCTGAGCCATGCTGGCCTGGCTGAAATGCTTTTTTTAAAAAAAATATTCCCAACAAATGCCCAGGCAAAGAAATAATCCATCAAGCACAGTGAATAAACGAGATGACAATGAAGTTCAGAAAGAAAATTTTAAAATGTCCAGAAAATAAACTTAAAACACACAGGAGACTGTGATTAAAATGACAGGGAATTCAAACTGCAGTTCTGAAAAAACAGTATACGAGAAAGCTCAGAAAAGCAATTCAGTGAGCTCAGAAGTAAAATCAACAAACAGGAGTACTTCACAGAGAGACTGGAACTATAAAACAAGTCAGACAGAAATTCTGGAGCTGATGAAGTCAATAAATGAGATGAAGGCTGAAGCAGTGAGCCCAGGAAATGGAGCAGGCAGATGGAGGAAAGAGTCAGTGATATTGGAGGTAGAAACATAAATGTCTCTGTTGGAAAAAAAAGGATTGTTTGTAAAAAAGAAAGAACTCTATGGAGCTACCCGACTCTGTTAGAGCAACGTAAGAACAACGGATACCCCAGGAGGAGGAGAGCGGGAGATGGGAGCAGAGAACCTAGTCAAACAAGTGATTGACAAGAACTTCCCAAACCTACAGAGAGAACTGGACCCTCAAATCCAAGAAGCTAACTGAAAACGTAATGATCAAAACTGAAAAAGGCCTTTCTCCAAAGCATATTATGTTAAAACTGTCAAAAATTACTGACAATGAAGGAATTCTCAAGGCAGCCAAGGAAAAGAAGTTGGTTACCTACAAAGGAAATCCCTTTAGATTTTCGTAGGATTTTTCAGCAGGAACTCTACATGCTATGAGAGAGTAGAATCAGATATTCAAATTGTTGAAAGAGAGAAATCACCAGCCAAGAATAACATACCCAGCAAAGTTATTCTTTAGACAGGAAGGAGATATAAAGGCTTTTTCAGACACACGGAGGCTGAGGGAATTTACCACAAGATCTACGTTACAAGAAATGAGGAAAGAGGCTCTTCTACCTGAAACAAAGACAAAAGATACAAATCTGTAAGATGACTGACAGAAGCAGGAAACTGCAACTCTTGTTCAGAATAAGGTATTAAACACAAATATAAAGGTTAAAGGAAATAAAAACAGGACAACAGCTACTGAGATTTGGAGTTGAATGCACAGCATAAAAAGATAATTTGTGACAACAGAAATATAAAAGGAGATGAGGGAAAGGACTGAACTTGCACAGGTGAGTGGAGATAAGATGCAACCAAAAGAAAAAAAATGTACACATGAAACTTTTTTTTTACATATATCTAATGGGAACCACACACAAAAAAATCTAGAGCTGAGACACAACATAAACAAAGGAAATGGAGGGGAAAAATTCATAGAAACAATGAAGGCCCAGTGTTACCAGGAAACAAAAGATAAAATGGCTTCTTAGGATATATTTCCAGAAGTGGGATCAAACAAAATAGAATCAGAGGCGTGGCTACATGGAACAGACTGACAGCTGGGAGGGGGGGAGGGAGGGCTGAATGAAAGAAGGTGAAGGGATTCGACAAAGAACATTATATATTTATATATATAATATATATAGAATGTTCTGTGTCTATGGGTTATAATATGTAACAGCTGACAGATGGGAATGGAGGAAGCAGAGGCTGGATGGAGGTGGGCAAAGGGCGGGGGAGTGGGGACATCTGTAATAGTGTCAACAATAAAAATAAAGAAAAAAACAAAAAATATATAAAATAGCTATAGGAAATCTTCATATATCAGTGCTCACCCTAAATATAAATGGACTGAACTCACCAGTTAAAAAGCACAGAGTAGGGAGATGGACCAACAAACAAAACCAACTATATGCTGCCTTCAGGAGACACAGCTGCAAAGACAGACTCAAAGCGAAGGGGTGGGAAATGGCATCCAGAGAAAAAAGGTGTAACCTTTACCTATTACAGACACAAAATAGATTTCAAGATAAAAAAGATAAGAAACAAAGATGAATATTTCATAATGATAAAGGGGACTATACATCAAGAAGACATAACAATATATATGCACCCAACCAGAGAGCACCAAAACATACAAAGCAATTACTAACAGAACTAGAGGGAGAAACTGAAAAAAATAATAATAGGGGACCTAAATACTCCATTGACAGCAACAGATAGATCATCCAAATAGAAAATCAATAAGGAAATATCAGCCTTAAATGGCATATAAGACCAAATGGGCATAATCGATATTTACACTGTGTTTCATCCCAGAACATGAGATTGTACAGTCTTCTCTAGTGCACACAGAACATTCTCAAGGGCATACATGTTGAAACACAAAAGTAGCCTCAACATATTTAAGAAGACTGAAATCATACCAAGCATATTTTCCAACCACAATGCTTTTGAAACTGAAAATCAACTACAAAAGGAAAGCTGAAAAGAACCACGAATATATGGAGATTAAACAATATGCTACTAGGCCTAGGCTGGTGTGGCTCAGGAGTTGAGCATCGACGTAGGATCCAGGAGATTGAGGTTCGATTCCCAGTCAGGGCACATGCCAGGGTTGGGGGCTCGATCCCCAGTCGGGGGCGTGCAGGAGGCAGCCGATCAATGACTCCCCTTCTCCCTTTCTCTCTCTGAAATCAATAAAATATTTTTAAAAAACAAACACACAAATAAAACAAAGACAATATGTTACTAAACAAAGACTGGGTGAAAGAAGAAATAAAAGATCAAAAGATACATAGAAGCAAATGAGAATGACAATACGAAACATCAGAATCTGAGAGATGCGACAGAAGTGGTAATAAAAAGGAAGGTCACAGCATCACAGACTTACCTCAAAAAACAAGAGAAATCTCAAATAAACAACCTAACGTTTCATCTTGAAGAAGCAGAAAAAGAACAAAGCCCAAAGTCAGTAGAAGGAAAGAAATAATAACCAGAGCAGAATTAAGCAAAATAGAGGGAAAAAAGACAATAGGAAAATGTAACAACGAGCTGGTTCTTTGAAAAGAATAAAATTGACAAACCTTTGGCTCGACTCACTAAGGAAGAAATAAAATCAGAAACGGAAGCGAAGTTACAACAGACAGTACAGAAACAGAAAGGACTCCAAGAGACCACCACGAAAGGTCATGCCGCCGAACAGAATACATTAAAATGGCATTTTTCAAAGAAATAGAACAAAAATTATCAAATTTGTACGGAAGCACAAAATACCCCCAATAGTCAAAGCGATCCTGAGAAAAACACACAAAGCCAGAGGTATCACGCGCCCCGACTTCAGGTTAAACTGCGAAGCTGTAATACTCAAAACAGCACAGTACTGGCAAAAAGTCAGACACACAGACTAGTGGGACAGAACTGAGAGCCCAGAAATAAACTCACACATATATGGGCAACTAATTTTTGACAAAGGAGCCAAAAACATTCAATGGGGGAGATGAAAGCCTCTTCAATAAATGGTGCTGGGAAAACTGGAAAGCCACATGCAAAAGAAGGAAACTGGGCTGCTACTTGACACCATACACAAAAATTAACTCAAAATGGATTTAAGACCTAAATATGAGACCTGAAACAATAAAACACATAGAAGAAAACACAGGTTCTAAACTTACGGACCTTGGGCTCAGAGAGGATTTTGTGAACTTAAAACCAAAGGCAAGGGAAGTAAAAGCAAAAATAAATGAGTGGGAAGACATAAAAATAAAAAAGCTTCTGCACAGCAAGAGAAACCATCGACGAAGCAAAAAGGCAACCAACCGAATGGGAGAAGGTATTTGCAAATAATACCTCCGATAAGGGGCTAATATCCAAAATATATAAATAGCTCATGCAATTTAAGAACAACAACAACAAATCAATCCTATTAAAAAAGTGGGCAGGGGACCTGAACACATTTCCCAGAATATATACAAATGGCCAACAAATGTATGAAAAGATGCTCAACTCCACTAGCTATAAGGGAAATGACATTAAAACCACAATGTGATACTACCTCCCACCTGTTAGGATGGCCGCTCTCAGGAAGACAAGAAACAGCAAGCGCTGGAGAGGCTGTGGGGAGAGGGAGCCCTCGGTCGCCGCTCGTGGGAATGGAAACCAGCAGACACGTCAAACGACAAAGGAGCAAACTCACCCACAGACAGATAGCAGTAGGGTGGTGACCAGAGGCAAACGGGGGCGAGGGGAGGGTGGGAAGGGTAAAGGGGTCAAATTTATGGTGACGGAGGGAGACTAGCTTTGGGCGGAGAGCACGCAATGCAGCACAGACGAGGCGTTACAGCTCCGCACACTCGAAACTCACACAATGCTGTTCATCAGCGTCACCCCAGTGGGTTTAACAAAAAACAGCGAAAACAAAAAAGTGACAGACACAGATAAAGTTCACTATAAATTTTAATCCATGATATAAATGTTACCCAAAGACACACTGAACATCTTGCATGAGGAAATGACACATAATGATTAAATTCAAATCTGTAAATCTTTCTATGGCACAAAGAGATTTCCCTCAGGTCCAGCGGTGTCACTGTGCTGTTTGCTTCCTGTGAACCAAACCAGAAGAGCAAACTGCGTAAAGACTACAAGTAAAGTTGGTTAAAATGATGGTCACAGGCGCACTGTTTACTGATTCAAAAAACACAGTTCTTTTATTCGTGAATAAATCCCCTTACGTAGAATGAAATATATTACTCCATGCGAAATAGTGGTTTCTTCTTCCAGTCTAAGCGGGGACCTAATGATTACTTAGCACAGGAGGAAACTTCCATTTTAATTATGTCGACACAGTTACTTCTTAGGTCTGGCATCATCGATGCCGAGAAAGCACTTTTTCTTGAGGCAACAGCAAATTACCACCACTGACATGAAACATGGCAAACCTAGTTGTCAGCACTGCTTGAAGGACTTTGAGGCATTTAGGTGAATAAAACTGTAAGTAAAGGAAAAGGATTATGAATGTCCTCTTTTCAGAAGACTGGCAAGTTCTTAAGGTTTCTTGATATTCTGTAGAACAGCGAGAACTTCTAAACTTTCTTCAAATGTTTTAAGGTTGAAATCAGTTATATGATTCAAATTTTAGCCTCATTAAAGAAATTTCAAAAGTATTTAAATAACTGAATAAAGGCTGTAAAATTTGGATTAGGGACTGTACATTTTTAAAATATAACTTTCAGGACATGCCTTAGACAATGTAATGTAAAATTCATTTTTGCATCTTTCTTGATAATAGCTGGCAGTTCACGCCTCACTTTCCAGGCTCATAGAAAGTAGCGTGTGAGAAACGGGAATCGAGGCTTCCTACCAAAGGCGGGGCTGCTGCTTCCCCTTTCAAAACGCATCAGGTGCTCATGGGCCAAAAATGTTAAAAACCACACACATCCAAACAGCTCTCATCCGGAGGGACACACACTCCCCAACTCGCACACCCTTGACGACACAGGAGACCGAGAACGCAGACGTTCCCTTCTCGCGTGTGACATGAATGGCTTGTGAGCGTAGTGCTTGGGTTCACGCCACAGGAGGACGAGGGTGAGATGAACGCTTAGACTCGCATCCCTCGCGCTTCCTAGTAACACCCGACCCACAGCGGGTAGAACACCACGCGAACCACACAGTGACTGGCTAACCGGCCTAAAATAACTAGGCTTTTAAATTTATAATTCCCTTTTAAAGGTTGTCATTCGACAATAGCTTCAATCTATAACAGCAGTAAAAAAAATGAGGTGTCATGCTATATTAAAATATTCCAAGATAAAATAAAGTACAAAACCTGAAAATAACTTCAGTGCTATAGACATTTAGAAAGTTATAATTACTAAAACTCTGAATAAAAAGGCCTTGAGAACAGGTACATCTTGAAACAATAGTTTATATACTTTGGGAAAAATAGGCATATTTCAAATAACTTGAAGTATGATTTAGATTCCATACCACCCCTAAAAAATCGCCTGCAACGCTGTCTTGCTTTAGTCTCTCCTACTCAGTAACTGCTTCTTTCTGCTGAAATGAAACTCTGTTTGTTCATTAATTTTCTGTAGATCCCGTCTGGTTTCGAAAGCAGCTCTTCGTGCTTCCCGCACTCGGTGATTCTTCCTTGGTCGAGAACAGCCACCACGTTAGCATTCTTGATGGTGGACAGACGGTGGGCAATGATCATCACTGTTCTTCCTTCCATCAGTCGGTCCAGAGCTTCCTGCACAAGGTGCTCGTTCTCAGCATCCAACGCACTTGAACAGGAAAACCGAGTGAGAAAGCAAGGACATCAGTGCCACGCGTGCCTAGTGAGCTCACGTATTTCCTGTCCCACACAGTGGCCCTTCATCAGCAGTGAACTGACACTACCATCAAAACGCTACCTTCTTGGGTCCACTATATATTTTTATATTATAAAGGTACTATTAAAAAGGAAGCTTGGGGCTCTAGAGTCCCATAGAATGACTGTCAAGTAAGTAGAATAGAATCCACACAGTAGTAGATTAGAGTGATTGGGGGTCCAACACACATGTCTGAACTGGAACTACAACCCTCAGCTCAAGGCTCAGCCTGTCCACTGCCTCGCAACTGTCGTTAATTCAGACTCAGCCCCTTTAAAGTGCAGGGGGAAGGGCCTTTTCAGCTGTAACACTCTGACATACAGAAAAATAAGTCTCTGGTAAAGGGAGAGTTTGGTTTGATACAATTAAACGCAGTGTTAAGATATCCTCACCTGGTTGCTTCGTCAAGGAGGAGAATTTTGGGATTCTGAAGAAAGAAAAACATTGAAAACACAGTTTTATTAGAAAAGCACAAACTCTCAGTAATTAAAACAAATGAAGGACTGTACATGATGCAACATGAAGGACCCTTGAAAACATTCTGCTGAGTGAGTCAGTCAGCCACAAACGCTCCATGTTGTAGGACTCCGTGAGCAGCACATCTACAGACACAGCACAGCCGGGCGGTTCCCTGTGGCTGGGCCAATGGGAAATGGGGGGTACATGTGACTGCTAAAGGGTATGGGGTCTCTTTTAAGCGTGACAAAAATGCGTTAAAACTGATCATGGTGATGGACACGCAGCACTGAACCCACTGGAACCCACTGAACTGTACACTTTCAATGGGCGACTTGTACAGTATATGAATTATATCACAATAAACCTGCTACGAAAAAGAAAACCACAAGCTCATACGTGTCTGAGGTAAGCGCACAAGTGGAAGAGTTAGAGGCAACTTTAAGCCATATCCCAGCCATCCCTGGACTGGAAATAGTTCACAGCACAGCTTACCCTGCTGCCAGCCACCTCCCAGTGGGAGGTGGGATCTGAAGTAAGACAGTCTAGGCTCTCAAGGTCCTGCTGATAATTTAGTTAGGAGTATCACAGAAAACAGAAAACAACAAGAGGAAGCTGATGTATATAACACATTACATTCTAGCTTTGCCTAGGAGTTTATCACAAGAAATGAAAACAGCCACACAAAAACTTCCACACCATTCATCCACAGCAGCCCTGTTCTCAATGACCCAAAACTGGAAGCAACCCACATGTTCATCAGCCGCTGAATGGACAAACAAAGGAACGCAAAGCTAACCGTACAAAGGACTGCTGCTCAGCAACAGAAAGGAATAAAGTTATGATACAGGGTGCAGCATGGAGGAGCCTCAAAAACATCACGCTGGTAAAAGAGGCCAGATGCCAAAGACCATATCCTGTCTGATTCCGTTGAGCTGAAATGTCCAGAAAGGTCAATCTACACAGAAAGCAGGCTAGAGGCAGCCTGAGACTGGGGCTGGGCATGGGGAAAGGCTATAAACAGGTACAAGGGTATTTTTTAGGGTGATAGAAATGGCTAAAAAAAATATATTCTTTTTTGTTTTGATTGTGTGATGGTTGAATAACTGTAAACTTACTGAAAAGTCACTGAAAGTACCTTTAAAATTGGTGAACTTTATGGTATGTAAGTTATGCTCCAATAAAGTTGGCTTTTTTTAATCACCTATAAATCTGTGGAGAGTAGTTAAATAACAAAGGGAAAGACTATTATTTCCTAAAAAATACAATGTCTGACTTTCATCTAAGATGGCTTTTCCCTCTCCTCTCAGAAGTCTTGTACAAGCACTTCAAGTCTGTATTACTCAGTTTAGCAGCTGATCACGAATTATACAAGTAAACATACTTGTACTGTTCTGATAGTTTGATGTAATCACTTTTCACTGGACTGTATGCTTCTCCCCCGTCAATACTAGCACAGGCCTGGCCTCCTAATACGCAAGAACTACTTGTAAAATTTGAACAACATGCACTCAGTGGGACTCCTCACTCATCTTTCACCAGAACTGTCAACCATGTATCCACCCTCCCCCTCAAAAAGAAAAAAGGAAGAAGAAAAATAGTAACTTACAAGTTACAAGGCCTCTAATTAAAAACAGTAACAAAACCTCCAGCCAAGTGGCCCAAGCTTACCTTAAGCAGAGCACGGGCAATGGCAATCCGCTGTTTCTGCCCACCTGACAACGACAATATTTTTTTTAAAGATTGAAAACCTTAACAAAAATTCTTGGCAACAGTCTTGTCTGATAAGCCATGTGGCAATTGGAAGGTGGCTTCTTCCAGTTAGTCACAGCTAAGAAAGATGGTAGAACAGAAACCTACTTTTAAGTCTATTGTCTCCTCATTAACCTCAAAATTAATAACAATTATTATCATAGCTAACATTAATTGAGGCGTTCCTATGTACCAGGAATTTTCAAAATGCTTTGCATGTATTATCTCATTTAATCTTAAAAAAAGTCCTATGAAGTATATCCTATACTACTCCCATTTACAGATGAAAAACTGGGGCACAAGAAAAGCTGTCCAAGGTCTCACAGTTGGTATGTGGCAGAGCTTAGGTCTGTACCTGCACAGAGTGAAGGGCTATGCTTTTAACCACTACACACACTGCCTCCCTAACAGAACATCCAACACGGCAAGGAAACCAGGAGCTCGGGATATCCTCAGGTTGCTGAGCAGTATGTGCAGTGGGCGGGAGCAAAGGGCATCGGTGGGGCTGGGACTGCTCTGCCTCCGAGCACCACTCCGGACACCTTCCTTTCTCATATTATTTTCTTCCCCCGGCCCAGGGAAGAACTGATGCTTACAGTGGTTTGTGTGTGTATGAAACTGGAGGTAACACACAGAGGGAGCCATGCTAATCGCCCCCTTCTAAAACTTAGATTCTAATAGAAGCAAGGGAATGAACTGGGGGTGGGAGCGGGGGGATTATGATGGGACAGGAGGAGGTAAGCAGAGAGTCTGTGATAATTCCCCTTCCTCACCTTGTCTCACACCACCCTTCTCCTTCCCGCCAGAGGACACTCCTAAGTGACCACTGGTAAGTCCCAGGTAGCAGGGCTCAGGACTCACTCCTCCAGGCTGGTTTCATTATAGAAAGCTCAATCTCATTTAATCTCAAAAGGATGAAAATATCCCTTTTGGTTGATTTTATTGGCAGAAAATATTTATTAATAGTAATTGCTGGACATCACATTATTTCATCTAAAAGAAGTTCACCATTTACAGCTGAAATATGTGGTGCTGCTAACAGGTGGCCTCCACCAGGCAGCCCTGTGCTCACTTCAGGGGAGCACTGAGGGAGCAGGGCAGCCCTTTCTTTCCGACCTCTGACTGGGAGGGTGTCTGAGTGCTCTGGACAGTCAGCAGAGCAGCCAGCTGAGGGCTTTGGTCGCTGGGAGAAATCCTCAGTGCCACTGAATGCACTGGGATCTATGGCTAGATGTCCTTTCTTTCTCCCAGAAAGCCAGTGTGGGTTGAAACCTTTGGTTATTTCACTCTGAAATGGGGCTTGAGGATCCTGGTGACGTGCTCATGGAATAGAGCGTTGGTAGCTCCCAGCCCCACTTCTTGATGCTCGAGAATGTTACCATGAGCTGCTCAAGCTGGTTTTCTTCCAGGAGCACACCTCAGAGATGCAGTAGTGGTTTATACTAACATAGCAACATGTAATTCTACTCCTGGGACTTCCCCAATCCAGCAAAAACACTTCATTTACTGTGATAGTTTTAAAAAGCCACACATAATAAACTTAAAACATTCTGTGTCAAACTTTCTGTGGTCACACTTCAAGTAAAAAGTTTGGTGTTGAAAAGGACCATTGCTCTAGTCCCGCCTGGTAGCCGTCACTATGACAGGAGGCATCCATCCATTGCTGCTGAGATGCTTCTGCCGACAGAGTGTGTTGTTGTGGAAGGGAGCATATTTTAATATTTGTAATGAAAAAAAAAGTTTATATTTAACCAGATAAAAAATTATTTCCCTTTAAGTTCTACTCAACCCACTTCTAAACACTAAAGCAAGAGAAAATAAGTTTTCTCCTTCCCTCCAGAAAGCCTGGCACCCATAATATAACAATATGCCAGGTGTGCTCTGACATCACCGGGAACAGCGGCTGTGCCTCCCACTGTGCACCCTCCTTTCGTCTGGGTCAGGCTACGCCATAGGCCTACGCCATGGGCCAGATCTGGGCCAGGACCTGCGTGTGCACAGTTCTCAGCTAAGAATGGCTTTTACATTTTACTTGGTTGTTAACAAAAACCAACAAAGAAGAATACTATGTGAAAAAGACCACATGTGGCCCACAGAACCTAAAATATTTATTTACTCTCTGGCCCTTTATTGAAAAAGCTTGTTGAGCCCTGGTCTAACATGGACAGTGAAGACTGGGGAATAAAGAACTCTTTCAATTTCAATTCTGTTCCTGACTCAGTCTCTGCCTCCCCAACTGAACAAATCACTCTGCCACCCTGTATCTTTCTCATTTTCTACAGTTTTCAAGGATCTTGCATTGCAAAACCTTATCTTTTCTCAGATGAGAAAAAAGCTGCTGTGGCTGCGTACTACTCAGTGGGACACTCAGTGGGGATTTGGGGTAAAAACTGAAGGAAACTGAGGAGCTGTCCACCTGCAAAAGAGATTTTAGAAAGTGGAAAGTCTAATTTCATAACCTCTAAGAACAAAAGTCTAATAAGATGTAATATTGCAACATGGAATGTTTGGACACTTCTTTGGAGCAGAGCTTCTGCTACCAGCAATGAGAGCAGGTACCTGAGAGGAGCACGCCCTTTTCTCCCACCATAGTGTTGAATCCGTGAGGGAAATTTCGGATGAAAGCAGTTGCGTTGGCCACTTCAGCCACTTTCTCCACCTGCTCGGCAGTCACCAAGGAAGGGTCATCTGCACCATAAGCAATGTTCTCAGCAATTGAGCAAGAAAACAAAATCGGCTCCTACAAATTGGAAACAAAACATATTTGTCGCAAATTTCAAAGCAGATTTCACACTGGTCTAGTGACCATAGTGGAGCATATTTAGTGAAGTCCTTATGTCTAAGAAACTATTAAGTTGGTCCCAAAGAATATATGCTATTTTCTTGGTTCTACTACTTCATTCTTCATAAATTCACCCAGCAGACTTTTAAAAATTCACGTATTACTGTAAACAGGGTTGATTTTATCATCTGTAGTTCCCAGGAACTGCAAGAAATGAGATCACACGGCAGGTGCCTGGTACACAGCAGGCACTTCATAAATGCAAGTTCCCTCACCTTGGGAACTGGGAGGCACTGGAGGACCATAAGCCCATCTGCATTTCCGGCAGCCAGCCTTCCATGGAGGATGTTACTTTTTGAAATTCACACAAAACAGATGGGAACATGACACTTTGACAGAACTCTGTGGAATGATCCTAAAAAGCAAATAAACTCCCTCCTTCTTTTCTCCACCCGTAATGTGCACCACTGATATCCTCACACTGCCGAGCAGCCCCTATCATGGCCCCACCTGCCCCTGGCCCAGCAGAAGGGCCACGGGTAAGGTCTGAGGAGCTCATTAGGAGCAGGGGCTCGGGTGTGTCTGCTGTGCACATGGCCTGGTAATGAAACGTAAACAGTTGTGCTGACTTTTTCTGCAGCATGTGGTCTTATGGAAACAGCCTCATCGGTGACCATATTATATTAACATGCTGCCTGGAAAACTGCAACCCCTTGCAAGGGGACCCTGGCTCCTTCTTACCATAGACTTGGCTTGCTTTCTGCTAAAACCCCTTATGCCCAACAGTAGATAGTGGCTGGTAATAAAAATAGGGATTGGGGAAGAGTCAGTAGAAGCTAAAAAGTTAGCCTTTCTCCCAACCTTCTAGACGGTCTGCATTATAAATTCATGGCAGCCCCAGCTTTTGATAAAAAGTCAATGCTTCACCCGGACAGGTGTGGCTCAGTGGTTGAGCACTGACCTAGGATCCAGGAGATCCCGGTTCAATTCCCGGTCAGGGCACATGCCCGGGTTTGTGGGCTTCATCCCCAGTCGGAGGCGTGCAGGAGGCAACCAGTCAATGACTCTCTCATCATTGACGTTTCTATCTCTCTCTCCTTTCCTCTCTCTGAAATCAATAAAGATATATTTTAAAAAACAACAACACATATCTTTAAAAAAAAAAGTCAATGCTTCAATGGGCTGAAGTGTTTGAGGTCTTGAGAAATGGCACTGTTTACAAACCTAAACAATCTGCCATGTGAGACTGGTTCAATACATCTGGAAACTGCCACCACTTCTGAAAGATTCAAGACCAGGCAGAAAGCAAATAACAAAAGCAACTTTAGAAGGAAGTACAATAAAAATACACTTCTTTCCTCTTACCTGACTCACTGTCCCAATCTTGGATCTCAGCCAGACTGGATTTAGCTGACGGATATCATGACCATCAAGACTGATCGTTCCTTGTGGAGAAGAAAGGAAAGTCACTGAGCATCATGGGGCCAATGACTAATGTAAACACAGAAAGGATCTGGTGGGAAAATTCCAGACTCAGTTTTTAAAAGATTAAAAGTATAATCAAAATCTCCAAACAGAATCTACAACTAATATATCTCATGGAATTTCAGAGCTAAAAGGGCCTTTCTGGATTGCCCACGTCCACTGTCCCTGCAGTGGTTAGCTGACTGGCCCATCGAGCACATCCATCTAGCTCGCCCTCTGGCAGAAGCTGAAGAGAGCTTCCCAGAGTCCCTGCAGTGACTTGGGGCTCCACAGTAAGGTGCACCTGTGCAAAGCTTTGACTCAGAAGAGATTTATGTGGGAGAGGTGCAAGCCGTGAGGTGTCCACTTGCACAAATATTGGCAGAGGTGACACCTCTTTGAAGCAGGCACCCATGACAGTGGCTGCCTAATTCTGCAGTTTCCTGACCATGTTGCTATCAGCAACTACCCTGAAGGCCTGGCTCTGTGGGGAAGTTCTGGGAAGTGTCCTGGAAGTTCAACCCTGCCAGTGATTTTTGAGCTATTTTATTGCTCCCCAAAAGATGTCTCCCTGCATAAGCTTAGTTGGAGGAGAACCTGTTATCTGAAACTAAGAATCTGATGGATCCTGTGGTGGAGCTTTTAAATAATGAGATGTAACTCTGACCTTAGCTAACAGAATTAATTCTGCATGTTGAGGGAACTTGACAGTGCTGGGTGATGAGAGTGTGACTAACATGAGAAGTGCCATCCCGTCTCAGTTAATGGTGTGTAATCATGCAAGCCAGCTGCAAACTTTCATTAGCTGGAAAAACCTAAGGCCTCTGACTTAGAAAGTACAAGTGCTCTGCAGGCGCCACGACGCAGAGGTTTAAGCAGTTTCTTTCCTCCTCGATTTATTCCCCGTGATGAAGAAACCAAAGAATCAGTATTTTCACTTTATTTACATCACCTAACTAGGGTTTTTCTAACCTCAGAATTTCATAACACGTAGAGTAAATAAGACAGTGATTCCAGAGGCAAACAGCACAGGAACACCCATTATACACAACTGGTGATTCTGTGGGTCAGGACCTGCAAATCAGAAAAATCATCTGGCACGTAACCAGCTCTCGTGTTGTTTTAAACAGAAAAAGACCACAGACATACTCTTTTTAAAGTCATGGTCTGATTTGTTTTCTTGCTGAAAAACATCCTTTTCTCCATCCAATATTAACCAGTACATAGAGAATATCTACTGCAGGCTCTCCGTCTGGTGACGGGTGTAAACTTGACATTGTGATTGCTTCGAAATATATGCACTTGTCAAGTCATATGTTGTACACCTGAAATACAATGTTATTGTCATTATGCCTCAATTAAAAGGTCATAAAGAAGTAAAATAGCCCGGCCGGGTGTGGCTCAGTGGTTGAGCATCGACCTAGGATCCAGGAGATCGGGGTTCGATTCCTGGTCAGGGCACATGCCGGTCTTGCAGGCTAAGCAGCCGATCAATGACTCTCTCATCAATGAAGTTTCTATCTCTCTCTCTCCCTCTTTCTTTCCTCTCTCTGAAATCAATAAAGATATGCTTTAAAAAAAAAAAAGTAAAATAACGTGTTCTTTGCTCTGAGAGATGCTACAGTCCAGCTAAACATAAAATAAAAACCAGAATGAGAAAAATCCGTTAAGAAAATCCCTCCTTCCTCAAGCAGCTTCACTGGAGCAGCCAGAGACAGGAATTCCTGAGTGACCAGCACTGCTTGCACAGGGACCACCGAGCTTCCCTAGAGCTCCTGGCTCCTGCACAAGCTCAGCAGGTGGCACAGTGGCATTTACTCCGAGGTGCTGGGGGGAATGGCAACTGTGACTGCTGAGTAGCCCCCAGCCCCTCTCCAGGAGGGGGCATCAGGAGACCCTGGCATGGGAGATGAGGAGGTAGACTTCAGGCAGTCACCCAGGACTTGAAGGGATCTGACCGAATTACACCAAATGCCTGAAGGGCCTCCTGTAAAAGCTGCCATGACCCTAAAAGGGACACCTCTGTTGAAGGGATTTCTCTCCTGGGAACAAACCCTCTGGCGTTCAGAACTCTCACACGACAACTCTTTGCATAACTGACCCTCTTGCAGGGCTCAGGACAGTCCTGCCCTACAATGCAGTGAACCACTCACCGGAAATGGGGTCATACAGCCTCAGCAGGAGGGAAACCACCGTGGATTTGCCAGAACCACTTGGGCCAACCAGTGCTGTGACAGATCCTGACGGGATAGAGAGGCTGAAGTCCTGGAATATGGGCACCTCTGGGCGAGCCGGGTAGGTAAAGTGCACATTCTTAAACTCCAGAGCACCTTGGAAGCTTTTCTCATTCAAGACCAGCCCCTCTAGAAATAAAATGGAATACTAATTACCTAACCCACAGATCAAAGCCACAAATGAACTCAGCTTCCACGGTCTGACTACAGACGCAGACGCTCCACCACAGCTGGTCCTGGAGCAGGAGCCCTTACTGTGGAGGCAGGAGAGGCCTCCGCCTTGCTTGCCCTGCGTCTGTTCTGCACGCCCTCCACCCAAGGCGCCATGCGTGTGCGGTCTTGTTTGATTCTTGCAGCCCTGGGAGGTGGACACCACTGCCCCAGCTCTCCCGACAGGTCACTGCGGCCCAGAGACGAGCCCCGGAGCCCACTCCCACCCTGCCCACACTACGGCCTCTGCAGCTCCCTCGCTCCAGGCTGATCTGATACGCTCTCAACGTCCTGAGAGAAAGACGTTACACACGTGGGCACCACACAACAGCGATGGAGCCGAGGGGAGCAGGGGTTCTGTCCTGTCCTGGTATTACCTGGGCGTATTTCCTCCAGCCCATGATGCTGGAGGACCCTGGGCATTCACCAACAACGGCCTAGGAGTCAGTGAGGGGCTGGGGCGGTACAGCGCACAGCCACTTCTCCTGAGCCCCGAGAACTGGCTTTCACGGAAGCAGCAGCACCCCTTGTGGTCAACCCCATGCTTTCAGGGATGTCCCTGCGCCCCACAGCAGCTGTCTTTCCTCTCGTACCACCCGGCCCTCTGATGACCCTTTTCCTGCGGTGTGGCAGGGATGACGTACTGGTCATGCCCATCCTTCAGAGGCAGGGCAGGGAGCTGGCCCAACTGTGCAGAGTCACATTTCTTTATTCCCAGCGAAAAAGAGCCAACACATTCAGACTCACCATTGAAAGGAAGCTCAGGCTTTCTCTCGAGGAGCTCCCAGAGGCGTCCCCCGGCACCCAGTCCTTTCATCAGCTCCGAATAGAAAGAGCTCAGCCCTGAGGATGAGAAGCTACCATGTATTACTGGCACCAGGAATCAGCCATCTGCTATTCCCATCTCTCTGGGAAAGATAATAACTTGCTTTTAATATAAAGCCTGTTTCTTTCAAAAAAAGATTTGAGGCAGCTACCTGGGAATCCATGTTCAGAATTCCCTCTGTCTCATACCCTTGTTTTCCTTCAGCTTCTCTTCCAATTTCACTGAGTGAAACGTTTTTAAGAAGGATGCCCTGGTTGGTCAGGGAATTTACAAATACATACAGCCATACTAATCAACCACCGAATCAAAATCACAGCGTTAGAGAAAATTCTACCTCGCCAAAAACACAGCAATATAAATAAAATATAATGCTTATCCTATACTTAAAAGAATAAAATATCCCAATATTCATTTTAAATTCATATCCACAAAAATCAAACCTCCCGTTTAGGCACTCAAAAATTCACCTTTTACTAGGCTAAACACTGAAAAGAAATTTGGTAATGTTAAATATTCCAGCAATCTCTTCTTAAAGTCACCTCTGTCCCATCCAGTAGGTTGTCTTTTGTTTTACTGATTGTTTCCTTCACTGTGCAAAAACTTTTCAATCTGACGTAGTCCCATTTGTTTATTTCTTCTTTTGTTCCCTTTGCCCAGGGAGACATATCTGAAAAATACTGCTAAGACTGATGTCCAAGGGAGTTTACTGCCTATGTTTTCTTCTAGGAGTTTTATGGTTTCAGGTTTCATATTTAATTATTTAATCTATTTTGAGTTTGGTTTTGCATATAACGTAAGGGAGTGGTTCAGTTTCTTTTTTTCTCATATATCTATTCAGTTTTCTTGACACAATTTATTGATGAGGCTGTCATTTCCCTATTGTAATTTCTTGTCTCCCTTGTTGTAGAGTAATTGACCATATGATCATGGGTTTATTTCTGAGTTTTCTGACTTGAATAAACATTTCATGTAGGAATAGAGATGGCCAACAGATACAAAAAAGATGCTCAACATCACTAGTCACCAGGGAAATGTGAATCAAAACCACAATATCATCTCACGCCTGTCAGAATGGCTATTGTCAAAAAGTCAACAAATGATAAGCACTGGATAGGATGTGAAGAAATGCGAACTTGTGGGCACTGTTGGTGGGATTGTAAAATGGTGCAGCCACTATGGAAAACAGTATGAAGGGTCCTCAAAAAATAAAAAAAATACAAGTACCATATGACCCAGCAATTCTACTCTGGAAATTTATCCAAAGAAGATGGAAACACTAATTCGAAAAGATATATGCAGCCCTAGGTTCACTGCAGCATGATTTGCAATAGCCAAGGTATGGAAGCAGCCTAGGTGTCTGTTGATGGATGGACAAAGATGTGGTGGGGATGCAGGAAAGGTTCAGAACAGAACTTCTGGGTCAGGTGGGAACCAAAGACTCAAAATGAAAACCTCCGACTTCACACAGCTTCACCCAGGAAGAGACAAAAAAAGCTGAACTGAGATTCTTGACCTAGGCAAGCAACTCTGTTTTGTGCACTTTCTAATTTGTAGTTTTGACTGTTTGTTAGTTTTGAACATGGCTGAATTTGTACAAGAGGAATCTTATTCCCCCGTGATCTGCCAAACAGGAAACAATCCCACCACAGGCCTGCGGTTCCCTGTGTGCACCTGGTCAGCACTGTCCTCCTCCCACGTTCATTCTATGAGCAAAGTGAACGAGCTGTGCAGGTTAGAAAATCCTGCTTCTGAGTGACCTGGAGCTCAGCGAGTGACATGTGGCCTCCCACAATCCTAAACCTCCCAACCACGGAACTGCTTGCCTATGTGGGAGGATCACACTCGTATCTTTATTTTTTCTTTTAAAGTCAAGTTGGAATGACATTCTAGGAAATGGTTTTTTCAGGTGAATTGCTGAGAGATGGAGTAATAGGAAAGTTAAGTTTTCATTTTAGATGAAACTAGGACCTGATTTTCCCTTTGTAACACCCCGAGCCTATGTAAATTATATACCTCCAATGCTCAGTCCAACCCAGAAAGCATACATTAGGAAGGAAGAGAGTTCACCCACTGTCATGTGGGCACTGCCCATCAGCAGCCCTCCTTTGTACAGGACAGAAAGCACAATCAGGTTCCCGGAGAGCCCCGTCTGCCGAACGAAGAAAACACAGAAGTCAGGGGGAAACCAAACCGAAGCATTAACACGGCATATATTTTCCTTTCTGCATTTAACTATCACAGCAAGATTTTTCCAAAATATTATGTTTTTATCTGAAAACATAAATTTTATCTGGAAAGTACTTCTTTATTTGAAATTAAAGAAATACTTTCAAAATATTGCAATATTGAAAGAAATAACCTCATCAACACAGAAACCTAGAAGCTAAGTCACCATAAGATTCCTATTTTACTCTATGTAGTCAGTTTACAAAGGAAAAAAATATTAAGGATTCCTTCCCTAACTGGATGCCAGCATGCGTGTTCATATGTTCTAAAGTGATGCACTGGGTAAAGGTTGGACCGGGAAGCTGGAGTCCGGGACCTCTGACCCACCGTGACCCATGTTAGACGTGTGGTCTCTGTGAAGTGCTGCCTTCTCTGGGCCTGTTTGCTCATCTGTTGAATCACGGCCATTATGCATCACCTGTAAAGTTCTTTCCAGTTTGAATGTGTTATGAATTTGCCCTCGTGGTGATTTTCTAGTTCAGTGTCCTATGTGAGTTCATTGTGTTCAATTTTTTTATACTTCCTTCGTGAAATACACTGAGGTTACTCTGGTTAACCCTCAGTGAGTCTCAGCTGTCTGCATCAGAATGGCAGGGGAACCTGTCAAAGCACAGATGGCCGGCCCTGCCCGGGAGTCTCCGATTCAGTAAGTCTGGAGTGGAGCACAGTCTGCATGTCTAACCAGCTCCCAGGTGAAAGTCCAGACCCCACTTTGAGAGTCAGTGCCAAGCCTGGACTATCTGGTCTCGCCGCCCATTGCCTTTTCTTTAATTACCTTTCTTGTTTTCTTTCTCTTTCACAAAAATATGTTAAAGGCAATTCTCAGTCCTGAGGTAGAACAGAAGCATCTTCTATTCATGGCAGGAGTCCCAATAAAAACCTCTCCCAGGGACAATGTCCGCCTCCTTCACTCTTTCACACTGATGCACTTACTGCTCCGAAGAAGCCGGCCCGAGCCAACGCCTCCTTCCTCGCTAACTGCATCACAAAGTCCACTTTGCTGGCGTATTTCTCTATTTCAGTCGTTTCTTTCCCAAAAGCTCGAACAGTCCTTATGTTTCCAATCCGTTCCTCAGCTAGCTGGGGGAACAACAAAAGCCTTTCAGGGAGCAAGGTTGTGTTTCGGGATTTCTAGAGGCACAATTAAACACTGGCTCTCATTTTTAAGACACTATCAATGGAAAGCTGCTTGTGACACATGACTAAGTCAAAAGTACGTTTCACAGGAGAGTATACAGAACCACCTTATTTTTGGAAACACCGATCTATACATTTGCACGTCTTATATAGAGGTAGAAAGATAAACAGGAGGGTAGGTAGCTAGATACAGAAATATATCTTTATGCAGAGAAAAAGATATATAAAAAGGACAGACTCCAAAATGTCAGTAATGTTCGAGGCAGGATTATGCATGTTATTTTTTCTCTTTATATTTTCAAATTTTCAGTAAGAAAATATATGGTTTTTATAATATGAAAATATAACAATTATTTTTAATTTTTAAAAAAGACAATTATTGGACAGCACTGCAGAGCTACCTTTATTAATTAATGAAAAGTAGAGTGTCATCCAGAAATTGTTTTGAAAACATGATTAGCTTTTTTGTCCTACAAGAAATAGTGACAGAAAGAAGAAAGAAGTCCATACAAAGTTCAGTTAAGTTGGATCTACTCTGATGTGTAGGTAGGAATCTAGTCTAAGAGGCAGAGTACTTTAGGTATCTAGGATCTTGGGGTCTAACGTAAGGAAAAGTAAGTACTTTTTGAAAAGCCCAAGCACATTTCTTAGGGTCTGCCCACTGGTGCCTTGGCTCTGAGCTCACTCAGTGGAGACCAAGCCAAGGAAGGGCCTTTACCTGAGTGGCTTGTGCCAGGGAATCCTGAGTGACTTTGGTCAGTTTCCGTAGATATCGTCCATAAATCACAGCAAGGATGGATATTGGAGGCACCACACTCAAAACAAAAGTGGCCAGATGGGGTGAGACAAAAAACTGTCAAAGACAAAAGCCAAAAGGTGTTTGTTACAGAGTAGCAAGGAATTCTCATTTACCCACTGTAAGGGTGTGTGTGTTTCAATGAATAGATGGGCTGTGGAACTTTTTAGACATTTTTGATCTTGATAAAACCCATGAATATTCGGCATGCCACACAGAAGTCACGTGATCAAGAGCTGCTGCAGAAAGGGTGGAAATATTTTACTCTCCATGCTGGACCACTGCTGGTACAATGCTGCGTCCCTCAGACCATGCTGTTCAACAGCAGAGAGGGGAGGCAGGATGGGAGTGAGGGAAGAGGCCCACTCTGCTCACGCTGCCTGGGCCACAGCAGGAATTCTGTCCTCAAGTCTGGACCACCTCAAGGACAATGAACCACCACAGCACAGAGCCCCACTGCAATGACCAAGATGGTAGAGACCAAAAACACTACACCATGTGGCAGGCAGATGAAAGAGATTGGCAGGAGGACATGAGCAACAGTGGAAGAAAGGTTACAGCGGTTTCTGTGGCTCGGTGGACTGAAGCACAGTGGATCTGAACACAGCATAAGGAGGAGATTCTTAACACTTGGAGCTGCTCAAAGAAGGAACAGCCAAATTCTAGAAGTAACGTGGTGGGGTTTCCTGTCAACCCTGAAATTTGGTGATTGTATTTTAAACGGTACTAGCATCTCTTCAACGAATTACTAAAATCTGCCAAATCTCATTTGCACAGAAAATAGTATAATCAGTACAAGGCTCTCCAAAAATGCTGGGGAAAAGTTGCAGACTGAAATGTAAAGTAATGGAAAGAACAACCAGTCACTTGTTGACTCATTCAACAACTCGGTACTGAATGCCTACCTGCAGCAAACACTATCCCAGGTGCCTGGGAGAGAAATGACCCGCATGGAGTTTCATCCAAGGGGAGAAGAGAGGTGGGACTTAGAGAAAGCAGGTGAAAGAGGGAGGAGATAACTTCAGGCATAATGCAGTCCAAGTGCATAAGGCTCCGAGGCAGGAATGATTCACCCTGAGCAGGTGAGCCACACAGTCCAGAGGGCGCTGGGATGATGTCACACAGGGATACATGCACAGGCAGTGAGGCAATCAGGGTAGGCCTGACAGTTCTGGGGCCTGAATGCACCTAAGCTCGAGTGAACCAAGTGCATGGGGTGTCCTCTGCAGTGATGCAGGAACATCCATCGGGGTTCCCCAGGACCTGAGTGGGCTGTCTCAGACCACCTACCTCCCTTGCTCTGGTTCCATGCTTAGTACAGTGGTACCTTGGTTTTCAAATGTAACCTGTTCTGGAAGGCCGTTCAAGTTTTGAAATGTTTGAAAACCGAGGGATCAACAGCCGACAGCTAGGCATCAGGATCTTGCACTCAGCGGAAGCTGAGTGGCATGTTCGACTTCTGAGGCATGTTTGTCAATGGAGATGTTCAAAAACTGAGGTACCACTGTAATAACCTGGAGACTAACACAGGATCCTGTCAGCACAAAGGAGTGCTGGAGTAGCAGGACCACACATCTTAATTCTAGGAAGGAAGAGGCCACGTCTGAATTACTAAGCTGGCCGTATGGCCTAGACATTGTTGGGTTCTTCTTAGTTGGTTTACCATAAATCAGGTCCAGGGAGCTGTGCAAGAGAAATGAAGCATACTCTGTTCCTAGAGCAGAAGACCAGGTCCCAGGTGATGCCACCTCACAAGGCCCTGTCATGGGCTGAATGTTTGTGCTCACCCCCACCCCCCAAATTCATATGCTGCAGCCCTAATCCCAGTGTGGCTATATTTAGAGATGGGGACTCTAAGAAAGTAATGAAGGTGAAATGAGGTGATAACAGTGGGACCCTGATCCAATAGGATTAGTGTCATTATAAGAGATGCCAGAATGCCCGCTTTCTCCACATGAGCACTGAGGAAACGCCCTGTGAGCACACAGCAAGATGGCAGCTGCCTAGAAGCCAAGAAAAGGGGCCTCAGAATGAACCTATTTTGCCAACACAGGGGGTCTTGGGACTTCCAGCCTCCAGAACTATGAGAAATAAATCTGTTGTTTGAGCCACCTAGTCTGTGGTACTTTGTTATTTGGCCTGAGCTAAGACAGGCCCTTTCTGATTAGCCAACTGAAACATCCTTAACTGTTATAAAAAGAGGTTCCAATCTCTTCCTGAGCCCAGAACACTGATATTTGGAAATGCTGTGGTGCAGGAGGGGTCTTCTTTCAGAGCCTTGCTTTTCTCTTGGCTGGGAAAATAAGAGATTTCAAAGTTGTTTTCCATTCTACAAGTCAGAATGACAGGCTCGCTCTGGCAACACATCATTCTGTGACACGGGACACGGAGAGGGCAAAGCCCGTGCCTTTCCTCCTGTGGGACGGTACCTACAGTTCTAACTCTGGGGGTCTAGGACTGCACTGGTTGAAGTGAGCCTCACGTGGCTGCTGAGCACCTGAAATGTGGTCAGTGTGACTGAGGAGCTGAATTTTTAATTTTATCTAATTCTAACTAATTGAAAATTAAAATTTAAAAAATGATGCTCCATTTCTATCCCAGTCATTCGTAAAGTTTTAAGTGTGCCTAGAAAGCCTGGTCTGTCAACCTACTTTTCAACTGCAGAGTTTATGAAATTTGAATAGAGACCAAGTGTTTTCCCATGAAAATTCAGCACCTGGCTGAGATGTATAAAATACACACTGGATTTTGAAATCTTAATATGAAAAAATAATATAAAATATCTGATTAATAATTTTATATTAATTAGATGTTGAACTGATAACAAAATATATTATTCAAATGAAACTCATCTTTAAAATGTGGCCACTAGCCCGGCCAGGCGTGGCTCAGCAGTTGAGCATTGACCTAGGATCCAGGAGATCGGGGTTCGATTCCCCGTCAGGGCACATGCCTGGGTTGTAGGCTCAATGCCCAGTCGGGGGGGTGCAGGAGGCAGCTGACCAAAGACGACCCTCTCATCATTACGTTTCTACCTCTCTCTCTCTCTCTCTCCCCCTCTCCCTTCCATCTCTCTGAAATCAATAAAGATATATTTAAAAATAAAAAATAAAATAAAATGTGGCCACTAGAGAATGGTAAATTACATATGTGGCTTACACCACATTTCCACTAAGCAGCAATGCAGGTCTGAGGAGAAATGTGGTTTGGAGACAGGAGGCAGGCAGACGTGAAGGTGCTCATGCCATCAGTTAGGAAAGAAACAAAGGCTGTGGATGTGGAGAGAGATCCCCTTAGAGGACATATCTACTTCTGTGCACAGGAGGACGGGACTGATTTTCTTTCCTGCGAGAGGACAGGGAGTGATCCCTGGGCTTCCCAAGATAGCAGGGCAGTGGCCGTGCCTTGGGGGAGGGGGGTAACTTGCTGTCTTTCCTCTAACCCACTGCTCAGCACCCAGAGGGTCCCTTCCACCTGTTGCTCCTGTTGCTCCTTTCTGCCTTCCACATTCTCAAAAAACCCAGGCAACAATGTAATCTTCTCTAAATGTGAGGGTCCATTCTCCAGATAAGACTGCATTCTGGGGAAATGTAGGTGCCAGAGCCACGTGGGGAGAGGCAGTGTCTGTGTTCCTACAGCCTCTGGGGCAGAGCTCTTGGCTCAGTGGCTACAGTGATAAGAACAGCCCACCCGGAGCTCATCCCATGCAAGAGAGGCCTGCGCAGGCCAAGCCCTGACCAGAGGTATCAATGAAAGCCAGGCCGACGTACCATCATGCCAATACCGACAGAAGCCTGGGCCCCCGCCCTGAGCCCATCTGAGAGGTTTTCCGTCACTGAGCGCCCCAGGAGCGCAGTGTCTGAGGAGAGGCGGTTAATCAATTCTCCTGTGCGAGTCTTGTCGAAGAAAGCGACCTCCTGCCTCAGAACGGAGGAGAATAAGGCAGCTCTCAGCCTATTCACGATGCGCTGACCTGCAAAGCAAACAGGAGCAGGATCAGCAGGGGCCCGGCTCCTAACTCACAGCAGCTTGGCCTGAGGTCATCACCTCTTCTCAGTGCTGCGGCCTCGGAGGCTCCTCTGCTGCCCTCTTGATCCCTGGGAACAGGCTCACCTGAGCACTGGCACATGGACAGGAAGCTGCTAGTAACGACCATTAATTTCCTCTTAGTAACTGCAGACTGTGGATGCTGAGGAGGCTACACTGGTAATAATACATATATAACGCGACTAAGAGGTTCTTAAAAAATATTATTTACAAAGCGGTTTTACTACATTAACTGTTCAAAAGCTAATTGTGTCCTTCCTTGGCAGCCCTTTCCTGTTCAAATGGCAACAACTGGTTAATTATCTACAGAGTATTTATTTTATTAGCTAAATGGCAAGCAACCGACATGGAGTCGGGCGTCCCAGCTCTGTCATTATTGTGGTAGTCACCAGCCTGTTAGCAACCAGGCCTTGACAAAGACATACTGTCCAGGTACCACCCAGCTCCTGCTGAAGGGGAAACACCAGCCTGGAGTAGCTCTCGAGAGGGCCCACAGCTCCAGCATCCTGCGTGAAGGCCTTGTAATCACACCTCCCAGAAAACACACAGGGCTACTTCCCTCGCAGCTCAACTCCAATTCATGTAAAAAGAGTGAGGAGACAGTAGTTGATCTACGACAGTTCATAGCTCCAACATCGGGCCAGTGTCCCCACTGAGTGGGATGGGGAAAAGAGGAAAAGACCAGAGCACAGACACCCACCTGGCTCCCCGTCACGTTCCTGGGAGACTCACTCGTCCAGGGTGAGGGGTGTGCCTACCTGAAGTCTGCATGAGGTAGACACGAACCGCGTTGGCCGCAGCGCCACACAGGAACACGCCGCTGAGTCCCAGGCAGAGGCGGGTTAGGCTGCTGCTCTGGTCCACGGCGGGGTTTGTGTAAATGACGTCGATGATCTTCCCCAGGAAGAAGGGAGCCGACATGGTGATGACACTGGACACGGCTAGGAACCCAACTGCGGCTAGAAAACACAGGCAGCCCTCAGGGTCACTGGCTCTTTAGCAAAGGGGCAGGGTGATGTGACTTCCTCCCTTGGCTCCCAGACCCGACTAAAGGGAAAAACCAAATGGGTTCTAGGGCCAGAGCAAGTACACTGACTGTGGGGAGGGACTGATCATATCTAATACCCAAACTGTCTTGTGTTACCCTGACCTGACCATCTGCCCCTAGCGAGGAGTAACAGAGCTAACGACAAAAATCTGTCTGGCCTTCCTTCCTGCCTCTTTTCTTTAAAAAAAAAAAAAAAAAAAATGTTTTTATTGATTTTAGAGAGAGAGGAAGGGAGAGGGAGAGAGAGAAACATCAATCGGCTGCCTCCTACTTGCACCCCGACCGGGACTGAACCTACAACCTGGGCATGTGCCCTGACTGGGAATCCAGCCAGGGACCTTTCGGTGCACAGGATGATGCTCCACCAACTGAGCCTCACTGGCCAGGGCCCTTCCTGACTCTTGATCTGGGTGCTCATCTCAGATATTTTTTTCTACATTCATGCTATACATTGTTATTCCTTGGCATCTGACTGTATCTCAGCTTACAGATCAAATCAAGAGCAGGTAAAGCTCTTGATTACATCTAGTATTTCAAAACACTTTAAGTCAATGTTGGAAAGCAGAAACAGGAATTCATTACACATGTGATATGTCTTTTTTTTTTTTTTTTTTTTTTT